TGTAATTTGCAATTAACAATTTCATATTTTTTCTTAAAAACAACTGTATGTTTTCTTTACACCAATTGATTCCTCTCATTATTTTGTACATAAAAGCATTAAGGTAAGATAATCGAAAAATGAATTATTTACTAGATATTTTATGGTTTATGTAAAATTAAGAAATAATTTCAACCCTCATAACAGACAGATGATGGACAGAGTTATTGGTCCACCCTGTATATATATATATATATATATATATATATATATATATATATATACAGGGCGGACCAATAACTCTGTCCACCTGGAATATTTCCGTTATTTTTAGAGATACAAAAATTTTATACGTATAAAAGTTGTACAGTACCAAGAAGGTCGTAATATGCTACTAATAATTTTTTTGTAGGTGGAAGTGTTTCAGAGATTTCAAGGTCATCTCCATTTTTTTTAATGGAGCTCCCCATTTTTTATTGCATATTCTTGTAACTTATCTCGAAAGCTTTTCAAAACACTTTAATAAAGTATTTCTTTAATGAGTATTTTTCGAGTTACGAGAGTTGAAATTATTTCTTAATTTTACATAAACCATAAAATATCTAGTAAAATATTCATTTTTCGATTATCTTACCTTAATGTTTTTATGTACAAAATAATGAGAGGAATCAATTGGTGTAAAGAGAACACATAATTGTTTCGAAGAAAAAAAATGTAATTTGCAATTAACAATTACATATTTTTTTCTTAAAAATAACTATGTGTTTTCTTTACACCAATTGATTCTTCTCATTATTTTGTACATAAAAGTATTAAGATAAGATAATAAAAAAATGAATATTTTACTAGATAATTTAAGGTTTATGTAAAATTAAGATATTATTTTAAGCCTCATAATTCGAAAAGTACTCAATGAAAAAATATTTAATTATAGTGTTTTGGAAAGCTCTCGAGATAAGCTACAAGAATATGCAATAAAAAATGGGGTTTTCCTTTAAAAAAATCATGTTGGCCTTGACCTCGCCTTGACCTCTCCACACAAGGTCAAACGGATATGATCATTGAAGAGAACTTTTAAAACCCTACAACTTTAATTCGAAACATTTTTCTCAGAAACGTTTCGTTTTCGAGATATTTGACCGTTTCCAGACTTCTCTAACGCTCTGTATATGATATGAGTAATATTATGAGTAATATAAAATTTTTACATTTGGATCATCCTAGAGAAGTATTGCAAGTAACATATAATATATATAATATTTTGTAAATAATATTCTACTCATCTATAAACTTTACAATAGAATTAAAAAATTTATAGAAAACTTAGCACAACAAATCTAATATTTAAGTGAGAATAATTCAATTTAATTTTTTTTTAAATTAAATTTTCCTAGAAAATTAGAGAAATTTGAAAATTTTTACATCAAAAAATTGTTTTATTCTATTACAACGTTTTTGTTAATATATTTAAATAAAATATGTTATAAACTATACTCCATTTATGTATCTTACTAACCGTTTTTCATAAAATTATATTTTTAACATTTACGTAATCTTAATAATGCTATTCAAGGTCTTATCTTACCAGCATTGCGATGTAAGTGCGTTGTTTAAAACCTTACTTTTATATTAAAACTTTTTCTCAAACAGGCTTATGTTTCAAGATATTTAAGGACTTCGAGATTTTTTTATAGACCTGTATATATGCGTGTGCGTATACGTTATTTTTATATTATTAAATAAAATAACAAACTTATATTAGAAAAAAATAAAATGTATAACGAAATATACTTTTTGTAAAGATACGTTGACTTCATATTATTTATTGATAATAAAATTAATAATAATTATTATTTTTAATAAAAATTAAAAATAATTTATTGATAATAAAATTAATAATAATTATAAATAAATTATTTATTTATAATAAAAATTAATAATAAAATAAATATCATTCAATTAATAATAAAAGAATTGATGTTAAACTAAAAAATAATTCAAAATTGTACATTATACTTATAAAATAAAAATTTTTTAAATAAAAATAAAAATTTTTTAAATAAAAATTTTTATATTTCAAATTATCTAATACTTTTAATATGTTATTATAAAGATTTTTTGCAAATCTTTTGCATAAATGCAAAATGTTTAAGTTTTCTTATAGCGTCTCGGAAACTTCGCGTAGTGAGAAAGTTCTATGCGATTTGTAATCGCAATCTAGTAAAAAATACAGTAACTGACATTTGATGACTCATAACATGACGACACAACACTGAACTACATAGTACAACATTATGCTATTACACTGACAAATTATTATCTATATAAGTGCAATGCTAAGCAGATGTGTGCTGCTTTCATATATTTTATATATTAGATTTTTGTGTGTGTTCTATAATGTGAAATTCTTTCTCTCTTTCTCTTCCTTTCCTCTTTCTGAATAAGAAAAATATTTAATATATAAAAATAATAAACAATTCTAATTTTCTATACTTTTTTAAAAGATCTTTAATTTAGAAAGTGATTAGAGTTTATAAATTATTTCACTAATTGATTAATCGATGAATTAATTAAAATTATGTTAACACAGATTTATGTAAACACAGATTTATGTAAACAAAATATTCATAGAAGATTTTCTGATCTGACAATTGTGCTATGCGTTATAATGAATAAGAGAAAAAAACATATCGCAGATTGTTAACACATCTTTTGTATGTATATTAATAAGACATCTTATTGATTAAATAATTAAATAATTAAAATAACTAACAAAATTCAATTAAAAGTGCAAAATAAAAAGCTAACAAACGCGATCAGAATCCAAAGAATTAAACATAGTAATTCAGAAAATATGTATTATCTTTTTCAGTCTAATATTGAGATAGGGGGTTCCATTTAAGAAATCGAAGGTGATCTTTACGTCACCTTCAAATGACTCTCCGAGGTCAAATCATTGCCACTATCTGATGGCCCCCTTCAAGCCATACATCTTTTGTTTGAAACATTTCTTTCTAAAATGTATAGTTTATGAAATATTCGACCGGTCCGAGACTTTTGGGACACCCTGTGTGTATATGTGTGTGTGTGTGTGTATATATATATATATATATATATATATATATATATATATATACTTGTAAATAATGATCATTTTGTAATGCTTAATAAATTCTTAATTCTAATTTAGTCTTTGCCAAGATTTAATGTAATGAAACTTGATGCTCAAATCATTCACTTTCAATATGTCTATAGCATATTAAAAATGATTTAACTACTATATAGCGCAATGCTAGAAATAAATATTAAAATAAATATTAAAATACTAAAAATACTAAAAATAATCTTGCAAATGTTAGTAATAAAGACTTCTATATAAAGCTTGAATTTAAGCGATAACTTTCTCAAGGCTATCGTCTTTTTAAATTGACATTGCATATTAAAAGTTTGCATGTATGTTAAATATATACAATGTATTATAAAATAATTAACTCTTTTCATAACATTTATCACTATTTTTTGAAAAAGTAATTACTCCTTTAATTTTTTAATTAAATCTTAAAACTTATAATTAAAACTTAAAATTAAAATTAAGAATAGAATTAAAGTTTTATTGCTCTACAATATGATGTTACATATTTATTTTAATGTATCATAAATATCAATATGTCTGACAATGAGATTGCTTTCACAAAAGTTCACATGTATAATACATACATTAACAATTAAATGAACACAATGTATGAACTTTCTTTCTTTATGTAAAACTGACATCTTTTATATAAATTATGAAGAAAAATAAGATGTGTATATAATACAAATATGTATATAATATATGTGTGTGTGTGTGTGTGTGTGTGTAAAATGTAAAAAAAACAATTAATTTTAATAGATTTTATTACAAAGAGAAACATCTATTTTCTTAAAATTTATATGAAAAATAATTTAAATAATGAAATGATTAAATGCACATATATACACATACATATACAAGATGTTTTATTTTAATTAATGCCCTTAAATATCTTTTATTAATAACTAAAATTTTTAAAATTAAACTTATGCTTCAAACTTATGTTTTAAACTGAACACCTCTAGTTTTATGGTTTTATGCCAGATAAGAAGGCATTATTGAGATTTATAAAAATATCATAAAAATATAAAGTAATTTTTGTAAAATAATCTTTTGTAAGATTGACACATTTTTTCCTTAGAAAATGCGACAAATTCATATGATAAGATAAGAAAAAAATTGAGTGATGATTCTAAATAAAGGCAATATCGCATCATATGTAATGTATCATTGCTTATTTTTATTCACTAAATGTAATTATTCCATACTTTGTTAAATCTAACTATGCGTTTTGGTTATATCGATCAATTTATTTTATTCTGCATATAAAATTATATATTATATTTTAATAATTGTATTTTATTTCTATTGTACATTATATTTTAATAATTGTATTTTATTTCTACATATATATTCTCTCTATAAAGATTAATTTCTTAAAAAATATTGAAAAATAAATCGGATCCATAAAGGTAAAACTTTTTAATTTTGTTACTATTGTATGTTTCTTATTAAACTAAAGTCCAAAATTTAATAATATTTATATCTCCTAAGTTTTTGTTTTAAAAATTTCGCATATTAATTTGAATTAAAAAAAGATTTTGATACTATATTAATTTTATTTTTCTGAATTATAGTGATTAAAGTTTGCTTTATTAAAGCAAAAATAATATTTTGTAAATAAAGTTAGATAAATATTAATTAAATATTAATTTTAAATATTAAATTATATATTTTAATATTTATATATTTTAATATTTATATATTTTAAATTATATAATTATAAATATTAATTTTACTGTTACATATTAGTTATTTTTTACGCATTAGTAATTTTCGTCAATTTATTCCCTTAAATAAAGCCCGGAATTTCCACTAAAAACTAGAATTTATAATTTTTTTCCAGCCCCAATCCTGCAAATTGTACAAAAAAATAATCTATACTCACTCTTGCGAATGGTCCATGCAAGATTGCTATCTTGCTTCAATGTAGCATCCCACCGGTGGATCAGGGAGATTGCTAGAATATTTCGCGGAAATCCTTAGATATTATATATCCTGGGATATCGTTGAGAGAGGTCCTGTGGAAAGGGACCGGTCTCTCTTTCTCTCGCGGGAACAAAGAATATGATTTTTACGCGCGACCAATAATACTAGAATGTCGCAATTTCAGGAAAAGGTTGCTCTTACGACTGTTTTTTGAGCGGCAAAAAAATGGGGCAATGGTCGAAGACGAGAGAGATTTCGTTCTCCGAAACCGTTCTCAGGACAACGCGGACAAAAATGGCGAGACACGAGTGCCAGGTCTCGATCAGCAAATGTCATATGTCTTGCGAGGTTTAGAGCGAGAAACGTCACAACCGAGTGATGCGAGAAACGCGCTCACGAGAAATCGGACGGAATGTCAGCGAGAGAAAACGTGATGTTGTGTCCAGCAATCACGCTCTGTAAAATTATTGTACGCAATCTAAACCTCTCAGCCGATCATAAAATCACGACTGGAGCGACTCCGTTATGTGGGAGTTTTGCAGTCGATTAGGCTGATATTCATGAGACGATTCAAGCCTGGAGCACATAAAGAAATTTAGACAGTAAACTTAAGACTTAAACGAATCGACCAATCACAGTTGAGCAATAAGACAATGGCTGCCTTGTTGCTCGACTGTGATTGGTCGATTTGTTTAAGCTAAGGGCCTATCCAGACAAACTTGCATAGGTGCATATGCATAACATAAGACCATATGGACCAATGAGCATCGAGTATTAAATCGCTATATTGGCCGGTATTCATAGTCCGATCTTATATTTAAGATCGTCTTAAGCCCGGGTCTACAATAGGTAATTTAAGCCCTAAGCCTTAAGAAATTGACCAATCACAGTCAGATATTCTCTTCATACTTGACTGTGATTGGTCAATTTCTTAAGGCTTAGGGCTTAAATTACCTATTGTGGACCCGGGCTAAGTCTGCTTGGAGGTTGACTTAAGACCTCATTCAACCAATCAAATAGCTGCGTAGCATTTCAAGCTCGAACTTAAGACGATCTCAAATATAAGATCGAACTATGAATACCGGCCATTGACTTACATAACATAGGCCGGTATTCATAGTCCGATCTTATATTTGAGATCGTCTATGATGCGGTCCCATGATACGGAATGTATGCGCAATGCGGAATTGGCGGAACGAAGTTCGTCCAATCACAGACATTCCGTCAATTGCGTTCCGTTGAAATATATTTTCTTATGTCCCATGGAGCGGAAAACGCGGAAGCGCAATTGATGTTGGCCAATCACAAGATTCTTTCCCATAGATTGTTTTGTTGTCTATATCGGAACAGCGTACATTATTGGCTCGCGCAAATTACGCTTCCGTATTTTCCGCTGCATGGGACATAGGAAATACAAATTTATGCGGATCGGATTCACACATATATGTCAAAAAATTCATGAATTTCATATATAACTTTCAAAACTGACAACAACTTAATATTGAATATGGATTCTGAAAAATTGTTTATTATTATTTGTAGATTGTTAAGTAAATTAAAACAAAGTTGGTGTATATTTGAAAAGAATGAATTACGCCGTAAGATTATAAAATTATAGTCATTGTATATAATTGTAAAAAGAAATGAAAATATTAAAAAATGACGAAAATATTGGATGCGACCTATATTCATCTTAGAAAGAAGATTCCAACAAGGAGCAAGTGAGAATCTTGTAAAGGAAATGCTGATCGAAGACACAGAAAAATATATGGATTATTTTAGAATGGCACCTCAATTATTTGCACGCATTATTAGCATTATTAGCATTAGTTGGACCATTCCTTGTTACACTCTTATTTAAAATATTTTTTAATAATATTCTTACGGATATCTGCTGTTTCGACATTTTTCATCATACACACAATTTCGAAGTTCCGCACAAAATGTGTATAAAATAGAAACTTGCGGATAGAAATCGGCGGAACAAACGTAAAACAGGTTAAACCAATCACGAGCGTTCCGCCAATTCCGCATTGCGCATACGTTCCGTATCATGGGACCGCACCATTAAGTTCGAGCTTGAAATGCTACGCAGCTATTTGATTGGTTGAATGAGGTCTTAAGTCAACCTCCAAGCAGACTTAAGACGATCTTAAATATAAGATCGGACTATGAATACCGGCCCTAGACTGATATTTTCCGCGTAACGTGTAAAGGTCGTAGCACACACTTTTGCATAAGTGCATAACCATAAGCATAAGAAAATTGATTGGTTCATTTTCTTATGCATATACTTGGGGACCAATCAATTTCCTTATACTTATGGTTATGCGTTTATGCCAAAGTGTGTGCTGCGGCCTTATAGTACACACTTTCCATAAGACATAACAGTAAGGTTTCGACCAATCACGTTGCTCAATTTGTCCGTCCGTAACCAAATTGAGCAACGCGATTGGTTGAAACCTTACTGTTATGTCTTATGGAAAGTGTATGCTATAAGGCCGCAGCACACACTTTTGCATAAGCGCATAACCATAAGCATAAGAAAATTGATTGGTTCATTTTCTTATGCATATACTTGGAGACCAATCAATTTCCTTATGCTTATGGTTATGCGCTTATGCCAAAGTGTGTGCTGCGGCCTATAGCCTTAAATATTTACATTAGGCCGGATCTACAATAGATAATTTAAGCCTTAAGCCTTAAGAGATTGACCTATCACAGTCAAGTATGAAGAGAATACTCGACTGTGATTGGTCAATTTTTTAAGGCTTAATGCTTAAATTACCTATTGTAGACCCGGCCTTATGTAAAAAAACTATTATAAATTAAATGTCAAAAAATTAATATTTCCATGTAAATATGCAAGGCATGTAAACTATTATACATTAAATATCAAAATACAAAAATAAATATATTATAAAACGTATTATAATATGTATTAATATAATATATATTTATATTCTTTTTCAATAATAATTAATAATTATAAACTATGTTAATATAATATGTATTTTGACATTCTTTTTCAATATAAAATTTAGTTCGTCCTTTGACTTTTCATTTTCATTATAGAATATTAAAATTATATCGTTATGTTTAAATCATGGATCATTTGATTAAATGACAAAATAAATAAAATGTTTCTAATGTTATAGAGAACAATACAATGTTTATGTGTAAAGATTATTATAATTTATATGCTCAATCCTGATTTAATACCATCCCATATAAGATAAATGGACATATTTTTGATTGAAATTATTAATATCTCTCTGCAATAAAACAAGCTCGCTAATAAAAGAAAATAATAAAAATATATTTACAAAATTCTCACTGTAACAAAAATTACAAAAAAAAGGATGAGATTATACCATTTGAAAGTGGAAATTCAACAAGGAAACTTTTATCCTTATTTTAAAACAACCAATATAGTTAGTAGCAAAATTTATTTTCTTATATCATAATCATTTATTTTTACTGCACTTTAAACAGTACCATTTATCTGGGAATTCAAGCGTTTCTGCATAGGTAGAATCATCGCTGACATAAGGCACATGCCAATGATCACCATTTTTATGTGCAGTCGGTACATAAACGAAAGGTTCCTGTATATATATGCTGGTTGCACTTTTCTTCTTAACAAAATACTGATGTGAGCATTGCCATTTCTTAAATTCTTTTTCCAAAGGCAGGTCTTTTAAACTGTGCTTATGCTGTCGCATTAAATCTAATGATACAAACTTTGCATTTTTGCCACTTGACATGGTTGCATATAGCATATAAGGATCATCAGCAGACCTAAAAATTTCATGTAATTTTGCATATGTATTAAATATGTATTATGTATTATGTATTAAAAATTTATGTATATACAATTTTATTTTTTACTATTAATTATATATTATACAATAACATTTTTACATAAATTCAAGAAAACTCTGGTACTTCTTAAAATTCAATACTTACAAGTTATCTGTAAAAAAGACAAATGCATGTTTTTCTATATATTTGAAACTAGGCAGCTTTTTCTGATGTTTTCGTGTTAATACAAGTATCCTTTTTCTACGTTTGCTGAAGTATTCGATCACATTAAGCAACTGTAATAAACGATGTTTTTATAAATTTTTATAAATTTATATAAAATTGAATTAAAAAAATGCAATAGAAGAAAAGTTTCTTCTCTTTAATAACAATGTAATAATTTCTAATATATGTAAATAGTTATATATATAATATATACTAATATATTTATATATTATTTATATTTATATTTATTATTTTAACAAAAATATATACTACCGTTTCTAATATAGGTGTGCAATTATTTTGAATGTAACTTATATTGAGTCCATCAATCACTATGTCATAAGGTTTAGTGTCCTCAATAAATTTTTTGAATCTTTGCAATTCTCGTGGATTGGTCTTGCGATAAATATCTGATCCTATAATTACTTTGTTCATTACAGACTCAGCTAGATCCTGAAAATTTTTGTCACTGAATGTTATCTTTGACAAAGAATGATTGCAATGACTACAATTCCCCCTAAACAGAAAGAATATGCATCTATGAAAATCTTAACTATTGATTTAAAATTCCAATTTTAATTATTAAAATTCTAATTATATTTCAGTTAAGTTTAAAATTGTAATTATAATCTTAATTACTAAAATTGAATACAATTATGTTAAAATTCTAATTTTAATTCTCTTTTTCTTTTTAAAATTCTATTATATTTTTAAATTCTAAATTATTAAAAATGAGGAATAAAATTAAATAATATAATAAAATATAATAAAATATAATAAAAAAAAATATAAAATATAATAATAAAATAATTAAATCAATCAAATATAATAAAATATAATAAAAAAAAGATAATAAAATATAATAATTAAATAATTAAATCAATCAAATATTAAAATAATAATAAAATAATGCTTACGTAGTGGAAATAGTTGTGGATGCTACAGACCAGCCATATTTAGTAACTGTATTGACATATGCATTCATAATATGATTATGTGGCATTATACTGTGTTCAGCCCAAAATTTAAACATTTCTTCTATCCTATCATTAATTTTTGTTTTTTCTAGTTCACAATATTGCAGATGTGATGTATACACAACATTTTGTGGCCTTAATCTGTGTAATGTCATTTCTAATAACATTTTCCATGCAATATCAGATTTTTGGTTTCTAAATGCTGCAGCAATTATTGCAGAATATACAGTTGCACCTAGATGAGTAGTAATCCTTATCATTTCCATTATTTCAAATGTTTTTTCCCACTGATCTGTTAAGCACAAGCTCACTATACAATGTTCAGCTGTAACAGAATCTAAATATGTATGCTGCTGTCTTAGGGCATTATATGTTTCTATAATTTCTGTTTTATCTACATCAGTCAATGAATTGCGTTTCAGATAATAGAGTCTTAGATACTTTCCGATCACTGCCACATTCAGAGGATAATTGTTTCCTCTCAGAAATTTAAAATATGCAATAGCTGTGTCTATTTCAAAATCTTTAAGACATATGTCCATAATTGTGGTATCTACAATGGCTGGAGTGATTTGTTGAATTTGAAGAAGTTCTTCTCGTATGCTCGACCATTCTATATTTGATATATTTTCCTTCATTTTCTTATAAACATCTGTATTTTCCGAAATAATAATATTTAAAGGGACGATTTTCCTGCTATTAGGAATTTGATTTAATAAAAAATATGTACTTCTGTGAAATTTACGGCACCAGGACCATAGTGGCCGATATATTTTGCAATACACTGCCATTTATTTTATATCTGAAAAAATTAATACCACTAAAAATTATATCTATAATTATATTTTATATAGATAAAGATACAAAAACAAATTATCATATAAATACGTATATATATATATATATATATATATATATATATATATGTATATATATAAAATAGGAAATTAATATTTTCATACTTGAGGAGAAACTATTATACAAACATTTCTTCTAACGCAAAGCTTTGAAAATATACAAATAAAACAGAAATAGAGCAAATCTATATATTTCTTAGATTTTATTATTATAATATATAAAATATATTTACTAAAAAATTAATTTTTTATCTTTTAGGATCACAACACTTTATATATAAACATTATATATAAATAATTTATATTTCATTATGATACATATAATGTTGCTAACCTTATTATACACAAGATGTTAACTAATCCTATAACACAAAAAAATCTATTCTACAATATTTTATATCCGTAAATATAATAAATTATAATTTTCGTGTATAAGATCAAAATGTTCATGTCTTTTTTATAAAAATTATTCACAATAAAAATCCACTGTAAATTGAAGTGCAGGCGCACTCACACCTTAGCAAAAAAGCAGGAAGCCAATCAGGAACTCACGCTGATAATAAACAGTGTATAAAGCGTCGTCTACAATGGCAGGATTAATGGGTTAAAGCAGAGCTGGGCAAGAACTGCACATTTCGGCCGATTTTCAGCTGGCTCCGCCTAGCGCGTCCCCCCTTACCTCGCCGTCCCGCGCAAAGCCTACGAGTCGCTCGGCGCTCAGGAGCGTATGGCAATAGCTTTCCACGTCACCCATACTATTATCGACGCGTTTTTTTTTAAGTGGTATCCCCAGTAGGCCTAATCCACTGATGACTAAAATGACTCTTTAACTAATTACATAAGACGATAAAGTTTATCACGTCTTATGCGATTCGCTACATGCCGTATGCAAATAAATGTTTCTGATCTCGCTTGTAAAAAATCCCGAAAGTCATAAATATTCATCATATCAATTATTATTTATAATTCCGTGCAATTAGTTAAAGGGTCGTTTCATCAGTGGATTAGGTCTACTGAGGATACCACTTCAAAAAAACGCGTCAACAATAGTACCTCATGGGTGACGTGGAAAGCTATTGCCATACGTCCGCTCCTGAGCGCCGAGCGGCTCGTTGGCTTTGCGCGGGACGGCGAGGTAAGGGGGGACGCGCTAAGCGGAGCCAGCTGAAAATCGGCCGAAATGTGTAGTTCTTGCCGAGCTCTGGGTTAAAGCTAACTTAAGGAATTGACCAATCACAGTCAAGCATTAAGGCCCGATTTCACCAACCGCGTTTAACTTTAATCTTAGTTCAATTCACTCTTTGTCTCTTTCTAAAGGAAGAGTTAAAAGGAGATAAAGAGTGAGTTAAACTAAGATTAAAGTTAAACGCTGTTGATGAAATCGGGCATAAGAGAATACTCGACTGTGATTGGTCAATTTCTTGAGTTACAGCTTCAACTCATTAATCCTACTGCCATTGTAGACGACGCTTAAAGGCCCGTCTACAATGGCAGTATCAGTAGGTCGTAGCAGTTGTAAGCGAAATGAACCACATCCATTTCCTACGGTTTTCGTGAGTTCTACGGCGGTTGCGCATACGCAGTCACGGAAGAATTCTGCGTTTTTAATTCTGATTGCGCGTTCGCCGTAGAACATACATCGTAGCCGTAGGAAATGGATTTAGTTCATTTCGTTTACAACTGCTACGACCTACTGATACTGCCATTGTAGACGGGCCTTTACACGTCATCTACAATGGCAGTAGGATTAATGAATTAAAGCTGTAACTTAAGGAAGTGACCAATCACAGTCAAGCATTAAGAGAATACTCGACTATGATTGGTCAATTTATTGAGTTACAGCTTTAATGCATTAATCCTACTGCCATTGGGTGCTTTCCATTTAGCGACACAAGTCGGCACAAGTGTCATTCTATTTTTTTTCAATGAATAACAATAAACAAAGATAGAATGACACTTGTGTCGACTTGTGTCGCTAAATGGAAAGCACCCATTGTAGACAACGCTTAAGCGGTAGGATTAATGAATTAAAGCTGTAACTTAATAAATTGACCAATCACAGTCGAGTATTCTCTTAACGCTTGACTGTGATTGGTCAATTTTTTAAGTCACAGTTTTAATCCATTAATCCTACTGCCATTGTAGATGACGTGTTAAAGGTCATTCTACAATAGCCGTAGCATAAGGTTGTAAGGCGTAAAGGCCGCAGCACATTTTTGCATAAGCGCATAATCATAAGCATAAGAAAATTGATTGGTTCATTTTCTTATGCATATATTTGGGGACCAATCAATTTCCTTATGCTTATGGTTATGCGCTTATGCAAAAGTGTGTGCTGCGGCCTTAAGGCCGGTATTCATAGTCCGATCTTATATTTAAGATCGTCTTAAGTCTGCTTGGAGGTTGACTTAAGACCTCATTCAACCAATCAAATAGCTGCGTAGCATTTCAAGCTCGAACTTAAGACGATCTCAAATATAAGATCGGACTATGAATACCGGCCTAAGTCTCTTTAAAATCTCATTGTAGACGCCACATAAGACCCATTTTAGAATGAGTCATTAATCGCAGTCGCATCGTTAGTCGCATATATATATATATATGTTTATTTAACCAGTTCACTGGTAATGGCCCATATGTGACAAAAAAAAGTGCCACAACTGATAATGGCCCATATATTATGTCCACTATGAACAACTTTGCCAATTTCCATCCATTTTCAACGGATTTGCATGAAACTTGATACACCCATTTTTCGGGTCGCTGATGACAAATTTGGGATCGAAATTTTAAAATTCAAAATGGCGGATTTAGTATGATGAATTAATTTTGTTACTCTATTATTATATTTGTTATTCTATTAGAGAAGATTTAAATTCGATATGTTCAAGTTTGAATGTCTTGAACTAATCCGTTATCTGCGATCAAAAAACATACCGAGTATTTCCATAATGAAATATCAAAATTAATCACTAGAAAGCGCCATATTAGATCTGCCAGTTTAAATCTTGCAATTTTGTCTATAGATTCATCATCAAGTCATAATAAAAGAGACTCGAAAAACGCGAACATATCGAATTTAATTTTCTCCATAAGGAAATAAAATTAATTCGCCATAATTGGATTCGCCATTTTGAATTTTGAAATTTCGATCCTTAATTCGTCACCAGCGACGCAAAAAATCCCTTATAGATAAACTTTCATGTAAAATACAAATTTATTTGCTCTTACCACGTTTTGGCGCAAAACGTTGATTTCGGGTGTACCAGTGAACTGGTTAAAGATGTATTTTTTAGAATTAAATTTGTATTTAAATTTATATTTTAAAAATATTAAGATGATGTGTTACTCCAGATATAATCAATAATAAAATAATTTGTCAAATTTAAAAAGAGAACCTAATCAATTATATTATATATAAATAATACATTATACTAAATATATTTTTTAATTTCATCCTACAAAGTGTGATTTAAATTTCCGTTATGTTTTGACATAACGGAAATTTAAATTACACTTTGTAGAACTCTCTTAGTCATATTAGACGTCAGTTAGCGACACAGGCAAATGGATGAAAGTTTTACGGGGATGATAAAAACAAATCAATCCATTAGTCGACCAATCAGTCAGTCAATGTAATGCCTTGCGCTCGCATTCACTCGGAAGGCACAGTATCTTTGTAAAGAAAGATTGGCGACAGTGATTATAATAACATTGATTTATTTACAATAACGCGTGATCTTTCCATCCAAAAAATGACTACGGCAGGAATAATATTATGCGCGTTGCTAAAAGTATTGATACTTAAAGAAGTCATGCAGATGCCTCAAGAGAATTTCGGAAATGCTTTCATCCATTTCCGCCATTATCGTATACCTTTGAAGAATGAAAATAAGGCTCTAAACGAGGATCCCATACAGGTAAAAAATCTTTTGCTTTTATAAAAAGAGAAAAAATTCTAGATTACAGATAATTTATCTGTATAATTGTAAATCTATATAATGCATAATTAACTCAGATAGCAAATGTCACTTGAAATGTCACTTCAAAATAATGTAAATGATGATAATTAAATAAATTTTGATGATAATTAAATAAATTTATTAAATGAATAAATTCATTTGATTCATTTGTCGTATTTGTCATATTTATTTATATTTAGATTCATTTGATTCATTTGTCGTATTTGTCATATTTATTTATATTTAGATTAATTAATAGATTAATTTAAACTGGGTTTTAAAAGAGAAACAATCAGTAAGATTTGAAGACCAGTTTTTTTTCATATATTTATAAGTGTGAATCCAAAAAATTAATAATACAAGAATAAATTAAAAAATAAGATATAATACATTAAAAAAAAATAATTTAACTATTATCTTTAAAAGAAAGGGAATCTTTAGTCTTAATGTGCGCATGTTGTTATTATCTTCTGTTTTAATCTTATTTTATATCTCTCTCTTTCTCTCTCTCTCTCTCTCTTTCTTTCATGCACGAATATTTACTAATTGAACGTATTTTTAATATAATTTCTATATACATAGTCATCAATTACATCTTTATTTTATTTAATATTTGTTAGTAACAATCATATTATATATTACATATTGTATTATATATTTTATATTATATATTATAATCATATTATATATCATAGAAAAGAATATAATCATTTATTCACCAAATGTAGTTACTTTCACACATGATCTATTTTTTATTTAATCAAACAGAAAACTTAAAATCTGTATTTCCTTGATCAAAAAGATTTTGTGATTAAAATTTATGTGATAAGATTTCTATCATTATGTGGTAAAAATATTCAGATATAAAAATTTCATTTGAATGAATATGTTGTTGAAATTTACAATATAATAAAATCGTAAATATAAATACGACAGGAAGTTAACAGACAAGCACAAGTTAATTGAGAAGACAATAATAAATCAATCGTGATAAATTCGAATTATTTATACATTGCTCAATTGAAAAGAGCAGAATTCTAAGAATTATTTACCGAGAAAGATTACTATTAACCCATATTAACCTTTATTAATTCATTCTTATCTATCTTCTGAATGAAGAAATATGTTACGCAAGAAAATATCATTGATCAGAGAGAAAAAGAGAAAGGGGGGACAGAGAGGGCAGAAGGAGGGAGAAAGAGAGAGAGAGGGAGGAAAGAAGGGAGAAATAAAGAATACAGATTAGGAAATTACTGAAACTATTTAGTTATTATTTGGAAACAATTAGATAGAATTAAAAGAATAAACTATTTTAAGTAAAACTATTTTGAGTATACTCAAATATTGAGTATACTCAATATTGGAGTATACTCAAAATAGTTTTACTATTTGACTCAATATATGAGTATACTCAATATTTGAGTATACTCAATTTTGAGTATACTCATATATTTGTTACAAAAATATCTTTAAATAAAGATAAGAAAACACCAAATCCATGCATGTGTTTCAAAAAATAAATAAAGAGTAGATGTTGCTGTAATATATATATATATATATATATATATATATATATATATATATTGTTACTTAAAACCTATAAAAGTGATATCAATTATATGTGCTGTAAAGTACATATAAAGTAAAATAAAGATAAATAAAAGTATATATATAAAAATATTATACATTTTATATAATTTAATTAAATGAAAGTAAAAATATTATATGATTTTATATAATTTTATATCATTTTATATAATTTTGTTTCCTAATTTTTATTATCTTATAATAATTTTTTAATTATCACGTTTTAATATTAAAATTCTGATAAAAATACATAAAAGATTATACATCACTGACTTTATTACCGCTTGAATATGTTAAAATGGAGATTGTTCTGAGTAATTCCCCGCAAAAAAATAAGTGAGAGGTGACATTACTTTAGAAGACATAACAAGTGAAAATTTGACAATTTTAACGCTTTTTTTAGGCATATTGTAAACTAATATTGTAAACTAATAATAAGAATATTGTGTATATATACAGGGTGTCACAGAGCGATCGTATCAGATGTTTATTTTGAAAAATACTCAAAATATATAATGTACATAATATATATTTACACAATATTACTTTTATTGAAATTTATGATTTATTTATATCATTATTTCTATAGAAAAACCAGATTTAAATACTTAAATATATACAATCCCTAGCGAAAATGAATATTCGGAGCGTAAGTCGAATGTAAGAAAAGAGTAACAGAAGCGTAAACGAAGCTCCTAAGAAGCGTAAATTGAAACGTCGAAGCGTAAACGAAACGTTAAAAGCTTCGTTTATGCTTTGACATTTCAATTTGAGCTTCGTTTATGCTTCTGTTACTCTTTTCTTACATTCGACTTACGCTCCGAATATTCATTTTCGCTAGGGAAGATATTTTAGAGAAGCTGAAGCCTAAATCAGTTGTTATTTTTAAATAAATATAGAAATAAACATAGAAATAAATATAGCAGAAAAAGTAAAATCTTTTGAAATAAGGAACATTTTTGGCAGTTTAATATAAAATAAAAACAATCGGAAATATTTTTATTATTTAATAAAAAAATATCGAATATCAACAATTTCAACGATATTATATATTTTCGAAATATATATTATTAGAATTGAAACAAAAATCAAATTTGTATCAAAAACTATAAAATACTTTATGTAATGTCTTTCTTGAGATGTTGTCATTGAATTCGCCATTTTTCTCACAACTCTCGTCAATTTTATTTCGGACTGTTCAGCGTATTCAAAAATATCTTTCAAGTATAAAAATTGCATGGATTCAAATTCGGGAAGTATAGAAACCACTCTATATGCTTTCTTGACTAAATTAAAAATAATCTAGATCATTAGTTCTATTATTAATAATCATTGTTTGAGATCTCACAGATTTCATTTTAGCTATTGTTAGAATTTAATGCTTGCGTCATAATATGAATCTCATGAGTCATGATAGAAGGAGTATATCTCATCGAATGCTTCTTCTCCAGAGGCAAATTTTATAGTAATGCTTATCGAGAATTTTGTAGTGTTCAAATTTACGTAGAATTGCTAGCGAAAATACTATAAAGAGATTAAAATTTAATTTTTATTCATCTCCATGTATCCTTTTATTCTATATACATATTTCGTAATATTTTCGTCCAATTTTAATGCATTAACAATGGCTAGAATAAAGCTATCAGATTTTAGATATACGACTATTAATAAAATAGAACTAATGACTAGGTCATGGGAAGGGGCACATTAGTTTTAACAACTTCTTCTAGGATCCTGTATTAAAGCAATACTTCTTTGTATACACATACATACATACATACAATTATATGATATATATTATATAGTATATAATGTGTATACATTTACAATATATTTTATCGATATTTTGAAATATCATAATTCGCAAGAACATTGATCAAAAGATCGAAGGATCTAATCGCAAATATATAAAACTAATCCTTTTAAATAATATTATAAGCAGGGTCGAACTGCGGAATTATGACGCTCAGGGCAAAGAACCAAAAAACCGCCCCTCCCCTCTCTCCATTCTAGCTTTCTTGATCGCGTTTGCTCTTTGCAATAATTTTTTATTTATATGGATCACCTCTCGATTTCAATAATTCTCACATATGTTATCAAGATTATCACTCTGAGTAATGTTGTGAAGGTTTTAGTCAGCGGTCATTGTTTATTAAAAAGATATAAACAAAAAAAGTTTCATGAGTTCATTAATACATATATCGAAAGAAAAGTTTGTCAATTGTTGAATAATTCCACATAGATTTGTAACTTTATATGCAAAGTGAAATGTATCCTACATCACAAACAGGTTGGGTTATATCTCCTGAAAGTGGAGTCCCCCGCAGGGAGGCGGAACTGTACCTACGCATATACTTCCTAAGATAAAGTAAAATTTATTCTTAATGAAGGTCAAGATTAAGTGAACTTTGCTTCACTTAATCCAACACGTGTTTGTAATGCGGGATACACTTCACTTTGCAGAGAAAGTTATAAATGTAACATATTTCGCGCACAAATGGTTTAATAACTCATCGTATTTTGTTGTTAAAGCGAGAAACTCGTAGAACTTTATGTTAATTGTACATCAATGTGTTTTGTACTAACTCACGTTTTCTTAAATATTTTCAAAGTCATAAGAAATATCAAAAACTTAAAAGCCTATCATTGTTCCATTATCTGATTTCAATATAAGAAAGGTAAATAATGTCAAACGACAACATAGTTTATATACGGTGTCATAAAATTACATATTATTCATTAGACATTTTTTGTTTATAACTTTTTAATAAATAATGACCGCCGGCTAAAACCTTCACAACATTATTCAGAGTGATGATCTTGATAACATATGTGAGAATTATTGAAATCGTGATCCGTATAAGTAAATAATTACCCTTTGCACTACCCGGTATTACGACGAGGACGGGACAAACAGAATCTCATTTGTTTTTTACATTTTTTAATTTCTTTTGTACATTTTAGTTTTTTATAATATTTTTGTATAATTTTTATTTTTTTATATTTTTTAAAGGTTTTTTTTTAGATTAAAAAAATTTTAAGAGTCCCTCTCCAACATAAGTATTATTATGAAGATACTTAAATGTATATTTTTCGTGCTTTAGGAATTTGGACCTCCATTGTGGCAGAGTGAAGAAAATAACGACGCCATAGATAGCCACTCCAGGAATCACTTTTTTCCGCTGGACCTGTATATAAGAAGAATGTTACCTAAACATTACTTCGGTATGCCTATAAGATCTAATGTCAGAGTAAATGAAGAAATTAATTATCCTTTTACGACCACAACAGAATCTAATAAACTCAACGAAGATTCACCTAAAATTACTTATATTTTTGCGAACAGAAAAGAATCTGTCGATTCTATAAAAAGTAAGTATATAATATTAACAGAAAAATGCATTAAAAAAGATTATATAATAATTTAACTTATACAAGATGTTTCTGACATAAATGTTATAAGGTATTTTTTCCAAAACTTTATCATACATAAAAATATTTCAGGCAAAATTGATAGAAATTTGAGAGAGAAAAAAGATATATTATATAATTTTGATAAAATCATTTTTCAAGGCTATGTAGAGATCAATTTAATTTTTTTAAATGAGACTACACTAATTTCTTTTATATAAATCGATTCCCATATGCAATATTTGGCATAAAAAATTATAGATAAAAATTATAAGATGATCAAGAATTAAATAATTTACGAAGTGTCATATATTTTAATTCAATATATAATTATACATAAGTTATAAAATCTTGTAAAATATTATTTTTCGATTATCTTGCTTCAATATTTTTATACATAAAATAATAAAAGAAATTGATTAGTGTAAAGAAAATAATTATTTGTAAGAAAAAAATATAAATTTGCAACAAGTAATTACATATTTTTTCGTTAAAAACAACGATGTGTTTTTTTATATATTACGATTTATATATTACAAGTCTTATTATTTTGTGCCTAAGCAAGATACTCGCAAAATGAATATTTTATAAGATATATTATAGCTTGTGTAAAATGATGTAAAATTAAAGTATAAAATATCTTACAAATTATTCAATTTTTGGCTTACATTCTTATAACTTTTTTAACGCTAAATATTACGAAAACCCAATAAAAAAATTAGAGTTTATCTTCACATTTAAAAAATAATCTTACAATTAAAATTCAAGATTTTTCACTTTTTTTCCTTCAAAATTTTATCTAAAACATTTTTTGTACGACGTCAAATTTCAAAGGAAACACTTTGTAATATTTCATGCGAAATATATTTATTTAAGGAATTTGAAATCTGGCTCAAATAATTCTATTCCATGCTATTTCTATTTAATTTTTTATTTAAGGAATTAAAGATTTCTTTCAATAACAAGGAAAAAATTATTTTAATCAATAAAATCATGAGAAGTATTCATTATTTTTTAACTTAAAAGTTTTTAATTTATTTGTATAACAAGGTGATGCCTTCAGCGTTCCTGGGATGCCTAATTTAGTAACACTTCGCAATTCTGTACGCCAGTTATATTGGGAATCCGTACAAACTAATCACTCGGAAATAATTTTGTATCGATTGGAAGGGCGTATCATTGACGACAATTATAACGAGCAGTGGAATTTATATTACAATGGAACGAATAATTATTGGATTATTCCTGGGGACATGAATCAAAAGTATCAATTTCGAGTACAAGCTAAAAATGGTTTCGGTTGGATATCGGCTTGGAGTCAATTAAGTGTGATCAATTTAACACAATCCACCGAAACATTGACTGCAGAATATTTAACATTATTATTAAGCATCATCGCGATTGCTATTATTATAATATTGATGTGCTTTATCATTCATAATCATTTTTTATATCGTGAGTATACTTAGTATAAAGCTTGAATTTTTATAAGGCATATACATATACATGTCACAAATAGAGCAGACGAGCAGAAATTACATGATATCATTATATCTTCATTGGAAAATATATACTATTTTTATACAAAATATATTTTCAATAATGCATTACACTTCCATGATATAATTTTTAGCAAACAAAATTGAATTCAAATAAAGCAGAGAGAAATTCTTTATTTGAAAATTTTATAACTATATAATAATTTTCAATTATTTGATCTTTTTTGAAAAATTAATCTTGTTAATAGGAAATAATTTAAGTTTAGATAATGTTTAATATTAAATAAAAATCGATTATATTAATATATTATCCTCCACAATAGGATATCGACAAAAACAACGCAAAAACAACAAAAAAATTTTAACACTGTCTGAATTAGCGAAATTTCGTGAAATATCTAATGGAAACTTTGTTCAATCCAATCTATATGTTTCTACATTGCAATTTGTTTCGAATTATACCACAGTACCTAAAATCAGACAAGAGCAAATTACATTGGAAAATTTCATAGTAAACAGCAAATCCGGATATGTAAGAACTGATTTTCTTAATTATTTACTAATTGTTTTAATTATTATCCAATTTTTCATTATTATCTAATTTTTCTTTTATTATCTACCTAGCAGTTATGTATATCTTTTTCCTTAATCACAGAAAATTGTTGATGAAAACACACTTTTAAATAAGAACAATTAGAAAATTAATTTTTTAGAATTAGAAGATAGAAAAAGATTTACATAATTTTTATAAACAAAACTTTATAAACAAAAAGTAAAGCGAAAAAAATATTCATTAAAAAATGAAGTTTATATTAACATCAATTTTCAATATATTTTTTAGATATTTCAAGGAAAAATGAAAGAATTGAAGAATGAGTTGAATGAGAGAGTAGAAGGATCAGGCACAATGTCTGTCACCATAAAAACGTTATCAAAAAATGCCTCCACGCGAGAAAAGACGAAACTTCAACAAGAAGCCAAGCTTATGAATCAGCTTCAACACAAACATGTGTTAAAATTACTAGGCGCTTGTTTTGAATCAGACCCGCCATTACTTGTGTTTGAATTAATGGAGGTTGACCTATTGAACTATTTAAGAGATAGTAACTATATGCAGCCTACAGATTCGCATGTTTTGTATTTACAAGACTTGCTCTCCATGTGCGAAGATGTTGCGCAGGGCTGTTGCTATTTAGAAGAGCTGTACCTCGTGCACAGAAATCTAGAATGTCGAAATTGTTTAGTATCCGCGAAAAATCGCGAAGATCGTATCGTCAAAATCGGCGATTTTGGTTTTGCTAAAAATACTTTTGAACATGATTATCAGGTGAGATAAATGTAACTTTTCAGAAAAAAACAGATAATTATAAGAATTAAAAAATTAAAATAAAAATTTGTCAATTTTTATATCAAATTATATATAAAAATTAATATCTTAAGTTTTAATATTTTTTAAATTAGCTTTAGAATTAATAACTTTATAATACTTCCTGTACATATTTTTTTATGTTTAAAATAAATATTAAATATTTTATAGATTTATTGTTATTGTTACATCATTTTTTATTACTATTAAATATATAAATACAGATACAAAATTTTGTTAATTTCTTTTTTTATTTAGCAGAAATAAAATTTTGGTATAATATGCTTTCTCCTAATTTTTCACCATGCTTCAAAAATTTTCATTAAATCAGAAAATTAATGTAAAGAAAATTTTAATTTAAATCAACAAATTAAGAGAAAATTAAGAGAAATCGATAAAATAATAAATTCATTAATGCATAATATGTTCTTGATACAAAAATAAACAACTTATATAAGGGAATTAATTCATTAAAATGTTTTTAGGAAGATGTGCTTTCAATTCGTTGGATGTCGCCGGAATCATTAATAGATGGAATATATAATTCGCAGAGCGATGTTTGGGCATTTGGAGTATTAATGTGGGAAATTATGTCATTAGGCCAGCAACCCTATTTTACCAAATCCAATACTGAAGTGGTGAATTATGTACGAGGAGGTGGCAGATTGCCGAAACCTTTTTACTGTCCTGACCCATTGTACGAGTTGATGTTACGTTGTTGGAGCGCAGCGGCTGCCAGACCAAATTTCAAAGTTTGTCTCGAAAATATTGTTACTTTGAGAAGCAATGTAGATAATGTGATAATAAATAATGAACGCATTGGATTAACTGCCGAAGGTAAATTAACATTAATTCTTTTTCACACCCATATTACTGTATAAAAATATTATTTCATTTTATTACAAAGAAATCTAGTTTTTCTTAAAATTCTGTAAAAGAAAGAAATTTCTTAAAATATATATTTTACTATAAATTGTATATTGTATGTATTTGTATAGAATCTCTCTCTTGGAAGTCTAACAGTTCCGAAGAAAACCGAAACAATCACCTTTCTTGCGAAAACTCCAACAACACCAGTACCACAACAACAGATGTTGAACATCTGTATGAACGTTTACAAAGTACTTCGTTTAATTCAAATCTCGGATCAAAACTTGACGAACATGAGCCAAATCAATTAGTTCAAATCGAAAATATAATTTAGCATTAGTTCGAAAATATAATTTACTCGTAGGCATTAGACAAGAGTGGAAATAATTTCCAACAAAGATGGAAAATTATACGATAAAAAATCATCGATCGATAATCTTTCGTTAATCGTTAAATTTTTAGTTACAGTCGTTATATCATAAAACTGCAACAATAGCATAAATTATTATAAAAACGGTACTAAGGAAGAACTTCTTGTTATCTTTGAATGGCTATAGAAAAATGCAAAATTAATTTTTAATTTCATTATATTTAATGAAATTCTGTACTTTCTCTATGATAAAAATTACATTGCCAAAATTCAAAAATTCGATTTTCAGAACAAATATAATTTTCGCGATAATGAGTTTTGCAGTATACAATTTTCATAAATAAACATTTTATTAAGCTTTCTTTATTTAAAAACATAACATTATTTTCATAGTATTTATTACAGAGACACTTCTACATAGCATAAGACTTCTATAGGACATCCTAATTTAATCGAAAAATGATTTCATTTTGATCCAAATTAAAAAGTCTTTCATAGGATTACTTGAGAATATTTCATATAACATAAGATCTTCATAGGATATCCCGATTTGATCGAATAATCTAAACGATATAGACGATAAAAAAATCATCATAGGATTTCCTGAGAATATATTTCTAATTGTCATATAATCACTGGTTTGTCCGTTTATCGATAGCAATGTTTCTCTCTTGTATTTAAGTTTAATCATGAGAATTATATAAAACTTGCAAGAGGTGACAAATATGGGATAAATATGATTAAAAATACTTTGCTTCAATTTAATGTCCAACGCAACCTCAGTGGAGGAACTTCAGATATTAAATTGATTTTATAAATCGGACGAATAAATGTCCGGTAAATAAGTAATAAAAATGATCCGTTCATTATCTTCAGAGTTTCAGATAAGAATAATTCAATTTTAAAGAAGCAATAAAACAGTATTAATTTTATGGATAGCGTTATCAAGTATATAAATTTTCATTTAAAAAAATTGTAATGTCATTGATTTTATTTTGGCGATACTATTTCAGATTACTGTTTTATTACTTTTATAAACTATACTGTTTTTAAAAAATTAAAAAGGAAATGGCATAAGAGCCAACGCGCGATAGATGGAGCGCAGAGAAGCAACAACACTTCTTTCTTTTTTCAATATTAGTTTATTTAAAAAACACATTATAATAACAAAAAGTGAAAGTTTCGGATCATCTTTTGATCTTTTGATACTCCGAGATAGACAGATATGCTGAACATAGCATGCAAACATTTTATGTATATTTTGTGATGCAATTAGAACAGCATAAAATTACAAGTAACTTTAAATGTAGGCATTATGATGTCATATTGTTATCATATATTTGTGTATTTCACAATATAGCAATATGCTGCACTTTGCTATAAACGCACAACTGCAATCATTATAGAAAATGTTTCTAATATAAAATTATGTTGTAATTGTATTATTCATAGGAGCAATAATTGAAGCAAGCTATTTGACGAATGTTAATTTAGTATTATTGCATTGTAATGTATGATTATAATTTATGAGGTAGTTGCGTTCTTATGCTATTTTAATTTTGTATTGTCATTTAGAAATACACAGCATTTTATTGACATAAAATATTGCATATTACAATTCAGTTATATTTTAGGCATTAGAAATAAATTTGTGTGTGCACAAAATGCACACGCAAAATGTATTAGTTCGTTCGTTTACCTCTACGCGACGTGCGATGCGCTATCATTCTCGTATTTAAGTTTTAATTAGAAGAATTATATAAAGTTTGCAAACAGTAACAAATAACATTAAAGATATACTGTTCAATTTAATTTCTGATTTCAATGCTTCAGATATTAAGTTGATTTTATAAGTCGGACAAATAAATGTCCGGCAAATAAACGAAAATAATTCGTTCTATTTAAGATGTAAAGTGCAATATGCAAGTATAAATATAAATAAAATTTTTATGTAAAATATTAAATTTTTGTATAAGATTTTTGTATGAAATAGATAATTTATATTATTATTTAATTTTGTTGGGCCAAATATTTTATATATTATAAAGGATACATAATGCCATATGTATCCTTTATAATATATAATACATAATAGCCATTTATACATAAGGTAAATGGCTATAACTTCGTCAGCGGATATAATTTCGTCAAGCCTTCTTAAAATTAAATAAATTAAGCAATCTCGCGTATACCGACTATTCCCGATTTGAAACAATTTGAACATCGGTTTCAAATCGGAAAATATAATCGATATACGTGAGATTGCTTAATTTATTCAATTTTAAGAAAGCTTGACGAAATTATATCCGCTGACGAAGTTATAGCCATTTACCTTAATCAAAAATAATTTTGTAAATATATTCATTTCTTATTGCTCGAATAATGTCGGATTAATTGCATTCTATTTCTGACAAAATAAGCAGCATATTGTCGCAATTTTTACAGCATCAGAAGATCTCTTTCACTTGCTGATAATACTCATGTCATATGAGGACGCATCTTTCAATGTTTATGCAAGCATTTTCAATTTTAAAATTTTGTCATTATGCAGGCAATATGCTGACATACGAGTATGTCTATTTGGATATATATATAATAATATAATATATATATATATATATATAATATATATATATATATACAATATACAGTATGTCCCACCTAGAAGTGGCCATCCCCTTTTATCTTTTAAACTAAAAGAGATAGATCATAACAAATATATATGAAATTAAATGACTTGAACTGAATTTTATTGTGAATATAGTGATCAATTACAAAATTTATCTGTATTGAAGAACGGAGAGATATGCATAATTTTTTTATAATAATGTAGATATTTTGATATAATAAAAGTTGTAGCACTGTTTGAAACAAAAAGAACGATGTTTGATTTAATGTAAATATTTTACATATGGGATTTTCCGGCTTGAAATATCGCGGGCGACCATTTTATTTTCGGCCCTGCGATATAGCCAACTTCTGACTCGTGCATTAGAGATTGACGTATGTCATGTTGTCATTTAATCATGATACTCAGTGAAAGAAAATTAAAAAATGAATAATAAATATAAATTAAAACAAATATAAATATAAATGAATAAATAATAATAAATATAAATATAAATAAATAAAATAAAATAATAAATCAAGGTAAAATAATATATTAATAAACAAAATTATTATTTCATTAGTCTCTTCTATTAAAACTGAAAATTCATATAATTGTTGTTTTTCCATCGTCACAAAGAATCCGTTATCCATTGTTGTGTCCTGAGTTACGCATGAAGCGCATAGATTGCATAAACGTATCAAACGCATCATATCAACTGCCTCAAGTCGAGAGAAGAGGTATAGTCAATGTGCTGGAAGGAGTGCTAAGAATTTAGTACGGTTGATACAATCTAGAGAATTCTCAGCGCTACTAAAGCGCTACCAATGCGCGTATTGGTTAAATCAGAACGATTTTCTATGCAGTTTACACGTGCTTCATCCCCAGAACGCACCCTTTATTACAACATGATTAGACTCGAAACATAAACACATAATGTCAATGACGTCATAGAGTACAAGATGGTGAACAGAAATCATGGGGAGTCATTCCCATACAGCACAGAAGCTTGCAACAATATTGCTACAACATTACAACATTGTACATTATTGCAGTGTAATGTAGCAAAGATATTACAGGGACATTTTTTTGCAACAACATTATAAAATAACGAAAATAATATAGTGTGTTTCTTCGCTTACCAGTACGCCGCGACACTGACCATAACTAACTCGTATTCAATTTCTCTTGAAATGAATATAAAGGATTGGTACTAACGTAAGATCAAAGTATATTTCTTTTTTTTTATCAGTTTAATTTCTGATAAACTAACTTCCCAGTAAGAAATGACAAATCAAATAGAATATTTGATCATTTCTCACTAAGTTAATTTAAAATAAATTATTTAATAAGCTGGATCCTTTATTAGGAAATCAAAATATTAAACAGATTTTTTCAATTGGATTGGTAAATAAGAAATAGTCCATTTATACGTCTTAAAATATTCTGGTATCGAATTTGTGTAAAATAATTTTATATAAATTATCGAGATAAATATTTAATAAAAAACATTTAAAAAAACACTAATAGACGTTTTTTAAAAACGTTTTTTTTATCTTTCTTAAAATCTTTTTATATTTTCAAGGTTCATTTATTAAATTTAAAACGTCTGCATTTGTAGCAAAACACGTTTTAATATTACAAATACATTGCACATAATATTACTATAATCTTACATTGTAATATTTTTAAACGCGGACATTTCAACGTTGCTGCAAGCTTGCAATAATGTTACAGAAACATTTCGCAACTTTTATGCAATATTACAATGTTTTCAATGTTAGATCTATGCAACGTTTTTGCAATCTTACGGTATGGATTACTGTATCTTTGATTATAAATCTCTAAAGCGTATAAGCACAGTGTTTGCTGGTATCTAGATAAAATTATCTAGATAATCATCTAGATAAAGAAATGGCTCATCTTTATTTTTAACTAAATGAAGAAATACAAAGTATCTTTATCTTTATCTTAGATGAAAAATATATGTCATCTTATCTAAAAATTGTCTAAGATGACGTTTTCATTATGCAAAAAAGTTTTCCAGGTATGCTTCTAAAAATCTATCTAAATTATCTAAAATATATTTTTTATATTATTATTATTAATATATTATAAATATATTATTATTATATTATTAATATATTATAAATATATTATAAATATAAATTAATAAATAAATATTTATCATATCATTTATGTACCTTTTTGCTATTATTTAAATATTCTTTAGGAAAAGAGAAAGAATATGTGTTTATGATTTTAATATCCCATTTATAATCTGCGTAACATTTTTTACAAATATTTATAGTCTTCTAAAATAAACAAAAATATCTAGATAATTATCTAGATTATCGCAATAATCACCTCATCTTTCATCTAGATTAAGTAAAAGCAAAATCATCTTTATCTCATCTAAGATAAATTTACGGATTTTTATCTTTATCTTTATCTAGATAATTTTAAAATTATCTACAGCAAACACTGCATAAGCATAAGGAAATTAATTAATTCATAAGAAAATGGATCAATCAATTTCTTTACGCTTGATGATTTTGCGTCTATGCAAAGCTTGTATATATTATACTTCCATCTCTTGATTCCAATAGATGTACATGTACAAGTACATGTACAGTTCAATAGTTCTATATTATTATTTAATGGTTCTATATTATTATTTAGTCAATGGTTACGACGCTTGTGGGGGGGAGACCAACTTACGCGGCGGCTGCGATGATAGGCGATAAAGAAAATAAAGGCGAGAACGCTGATAAAGCACAGATATCATGGGACCGGAGTGATCCATGCGCTGCCGACTGCCAAGTGTCGCTGGTTTTCGTTTCATTCGTGCTAACCGCGTTCGACAAAATCCGTTCATCTAAAACTAAATACATTTATTGTGTCTTCCGAAAGTGTTAATTAAGCAGAGGTAACAAGCGGAACTGTCTCTTTTGGTGGACAAGTAATAAGTAAGTGTGAGAGCATTCTGTGCAATTTGTGATGTCACGCAAGTCACAATCACACAACGTGATGTCGATCACGTTGTTGAATCGCGTGTAGCAGCGCGCGCATTTTAAATATGATCTATATACTTTTTTTTTCATCATTTCACTTTTTATATTTTACATTGTTTAATTTACAAAATAATATATAATTAATGTTTCTAACTTTCTTTTTATATCAAATATTTTCTTTATATTTAAAAAAATAAATTATGTAAACTTTTATCCAATAAAATTATGGATAGAATTAAAACATATATCCTTTATATTTTTGTAAATTTTTTATTTTTTACCTTTTCAATTCATTATTCAAATTTTTTATTTTTAAAATTTTTCAAAGTTTTTATATTAAAAAAATTAAAACATTTTTACATTTTTTTACTTCTTTATCATCAAGATAATCATTGCGCGAATTATAATAATGTAATAATATAATAATAATATAATAATATAATAATAATTTTGTTATATATAATAATAATATAATATAATAATAATTTTGTTATAATAATCATGATGATATATTCACTCTAAATTATGTATTTACTCTAAATTATGTATATTATAATATGTTGAATTATTTGTGATTAAAGAGACATTTGATTCTATTCTAAAGTATTTAAAAAAAAATACTTTTCTTATATTATTTTAAATAAAATGTTTACAGTTTTTTTACACAAAAAAATTATTTAATCAACAAAAATGTAATTTACCATAGCAATTTTTTTCAGAATTTTATCGATTTCTGATAATTGTTCTACACACATTAATAAACATATGATAATGGCGTGATGTATGTATGTACGTGCATGAATACATGCCTACAAATCATAGCGTTTAATATTAATATTAATTATAATATTAATTATAATTAAGAAAATATCAAGTAAAAGACAAATTATTTTATTTTTAATTGTGAATAATTTTTAAGAAATGCTTAATAGTTCGGTTTCGTAATAACAATCATTTGACTAATAATTATACTGTTTATATCAAGATAAATATTTCTCTAAAATTTTATCCACTCTTTATAATTGATTTAGTATATGTTGGACATATGATAATATATTGAACATAAATTCGCATCGTCATATGTTATTCATTAACAACGAAAAATACTTGACTGTTTATACTTCACTATTTCTCCGTCATACTTGTCTGATTACGATAATGATGATGCGATTTTACATAAAATTATCATTTTTTTTTTGATATTAGCTTTTTTTCTTACTATTTTGAAAAACACTTGAAAATTTGCAATAAAACAAAATATTAAATTAATAAATTAATATATTTATGCATTATCATATATATCATAAATATGAATGTTTTAACACTAAAACAATTATATGTGTAAATTCTTTGTAAATGTAATCTTTCTACAAAAAGCTTGTAATTTATAACACGTACATATATACTTATAAATATTTAAATTTATTTAAATATACATAAGATGTTTTTATTTGAATAATTGATTGCCCATTTCAGCATTATATAAAAGCGAATATGAATGAATAAGAAGATTGAAATGTTAAAGCTCAATTATGGAAAACTATACGTCGGAGGACTCCAGCGATTCGGACAGTTTGAGAACATTGGATTTATCATATCTGTCACTGGATGATGAAATAATGGATAAGCAATTCCTTAACACCAAGTACCCGGAGCACGTGGACACTTTATTATTGAGTCAAAACCGTCTCACAACTCTTCCTATCAGTATCAATAGGTTTACCAGTCTAAATTCTCTTGATATTTCAAATTGCGGCCTTACCAAATTGCCAAATTTTTGGGAAGATTGCCCTTTGACTTGTTTGATCGCAAAACATAACAATCTGACCAATGATGGATTAGCTAAAGATTTCGAAAATTTAGCTAACTTGAGAGAACTCAATTTAAGCGGCAATAGACTCACGGAATTTCCTAATCAAGTACTCGATCTAGCTCTTTTGAGATACCTTTATTTGGGTGGTAATCGTATCAATGAGATTAGCAAAGATATCTGGAAATTACAAAGGTAACTACGACTTTTAATAAATTTTAATATTAATGATTATAAACAACTTATAAAATTCATTTATTAATATAATATATATATATAGAATATAGTAAAATGGAGAAATAAATATATTGACTAAATAAATGAGAAATAGTAAATTATTTTTATGATTAATTTCTAATAAATTAGTTTTTGAAGTAATAAAGAGAAAACACATAAATTTTATTATATATCGTAATTAATTGCGTTAAAATGAGTTCTGGCTAAATAAACATAATGTGATATATAGGTTATTTTATTTTAATTGCTCCAAGTAAATATCTCGAAAAATATGAAAAATCCGAAAAAATGTTTCAAACAAAAATTGTTTCATTTGAAGGAAAATATAAGATGATGTCATTTGTTTGACCTTGAGTGAATATGCCAAGATAATATAAAGTTCAACTTTATTTTTTTAAACAGAATCCTCTATTGTTCATTGCATATTCTTGTTGTTTATCTCGTGAACTTTTCAAAACACTATACTAAAGTATCTTTTCCATTAAGTGCTTCTTTTATGAAGCTTGAAATGATTCTTTAATTTTATATGAACTATAAATTATCTCGTAAAATATTCATTTTTCGATGATCTTACCTCAATACTGTTATACACAAAATAATAAGAGGAATTAATTGGTGTAAAGAAAGCGCATAGTTGTAATGTTTGTATGTTTAAATAAAGATATGTAATTGTTAATTGCAAATTATATATTTTTTTCTTAAAAACAACTATGGTTTTTCTTTACACCAATTGATTCCTCTTATTATTTTGTACATAAAAGTATTCAAGTAAGATAATCGAAAAATGAATATTTTACAAGATATTTTACGATTTATGTAAAATTAAGAAATTATTTCAAGCCTCATAACTCGGAAGATACTTAATGAAAATTAAGTTAACTTAGTGGGACGAACTCTCGTCGCCACGCGCTTCTACTCACGCAGAGAGGCTGATCTTCTTTAATTTTTCGTTAATTATTGCAAATACCACAAAACAGTAGAGGTTCTTACTTCTTAATTTGAACCAATCTACTTTCTTACTTCTGCAAAAATTTTCCTGACATCCTGACATTATGTTTATAACTATTGTAATATATTATTGTATTAAGCTAAAAATAATTTTAATGCAATTAATTACGATATATAATAAAATTTATGTGTTTTCTCTTCATTACTTTAAAAATTAATTTATTAGAAATTAATCATAAAAATAATTTACTAATTATCATTTATTTATTTGATATATTTGCTTCTTCATTTTGTTATATTAATATTTTAAATGCTTATGAAACTCTTTAATTGTTAATTTTAAGCATTTCTATAATTAAAAGCAACCTCTAAAATATTTTTTATAAGAAAAAAACGTAAGACATAAATAACAAAAAGACATAAACATTTATTATATAAAATTTTAGAATTTGAAAATTGTTATAATATTAAAGAGAGATAAAAAGCAAATTTGAAATATATGAAATTCAATTTTTTCTATCTTTACTTGTAAAAATAATTTAAATAATTGTGTTTTATTTATACTGTTTTATATAAAAGATAATTTATTAATTTTATGATATCGGATATGATTTGTTAAAGATTACGAATTTTATCAATGGGAGATAATAGATTAACAGAGGTACCATCCACTCTCGGTCAACTCAAAACCCTACAAGCTCTTGTACTTTGTGATAATATGCTAGAGAGTTTGCCAAGTTCGATAGCCAATTTAACGAATTTAAAAACTTTATCACTTCATAAAAATAGATTACGGACATTGCCTACCGAAATAATAAAATTGAAATGTTTAACGGAAGTAAGTCACAAATAATTTATTTCCAATTATTTTCTCATATCATAATTAAATTAGTCTGCAACTATATAATGAAAAGAGAGAAACTGAACAAATAAATTTTATTTCACGTGTTATCTATTTTTGCTAATTATCTGTTAGTAAAATTGATAATGTTACGTCATTCAATTATAACATCAATATAACAGTATTCCATTAGAATTATAAATAGATAATTTGATTGACAATTATTTCATTCGATATTATTTTATTAAAAAATAAAAAATGTTTGAATTATTTTAACAATTAATATACAGAACGCTGTTAAACACTCAAAAAATATGTACGAAAAAATTCGGAAGTGCTCTCTTAAATAAATTTTTGAAGAAAAGTTATTCAGGTTATATATATTATTGTCCTAAATGATATAGTTTTTGAGATATACATAGAATGTTAAAATTTTAAAAATATTGACAGGTCTTGATTCGCTCAGTCCCAGAATTGAATCTCTTGAATTTTTTCCTGGAATCTTACCTTAAATTGAAGAATCACATAGTGATTATTATGCCAAATAATCTATAATATACTTAATATTTTTGAACATATTCCTCATTCTCATGAGGAAGAGAGCAGATTCAAGGTCGTCATTTCCAATAATTTCTATAATTTTATTTAATATTGTTTCAAAATATATTTTTTGAAATTTCATTTTCTTCATTTTAAATTTATAATTCAAATTTATATAATTCAAAAGCTATACCGTTTAGGACATTGATATATAAACCTTCTTTTCAAGAAATTATCTAAGGAATCACCTTCCGAAATGTTTCGCACATGTTTAGGAACATTCTACATATTAAATAAGCATAATATGCAATGAATTTTATACGCTTTACCTAGCTATCTCTACGAGACAATCCGCTGGTGGTGAGATTCGTATCTGACATGACGCACAATCCGCCGACATTATTGGAACTAGCGGCGCGTGTCATCAAAATCAGCGACGTTCGCTATGATGATGAGACTCTACCGCGCAATCTAGTGCAGTATCTTAACAGTGCTCACCATTGTGTCAATCCCAAATGCAAAGGTAAATATTTTTGAACATCATAATAATTCAACATAGATGTAAGATAATCAATTTCTCTTTTGTTCTAAGAACTTCAGATTTTTCTTCAATCCCAAATCAAATTTTCTTTCTAAATCACAAGTATCTTTATGTCATTTTGTAATATATATTTGCAACATAATTACGTTATGTTATTAGAGAAAGTGAGTAAAAGACAAAGAAGCTTGTGACGATATTTTTATTCCATTAAAAAAAGAAATGAATAAAAAGAAATGTATAAAAGAATAAACAAAACTTTATAATAAGGACAATATTTGATTCCGATGATTTCATAAAATATCAATTGCGTTACAAACAAACAATAATTACGAAGATCTGATTACGCATTATTCCCGAATTGAGAGTAGTAACATAATTATTTTCTCATTATCTTAAAAAGTATTAAAAATATCATTAAATATACACTTATATACAGTTATTGTTATTTGAAAATGCCCCTTCTAATACTTTGTTATGTATCTAGTAATCACATAAAGCTTTTTCTTCTAGCTTTTTATGTGATATCATTGGCAAACTTTGATCGCTTATAACTCAAAAACTATTGTACCCTAAAACATTTAATATTAAATTATATTTGAGTTATTTTACTTTTAATTTTATAATTAATATATCTTTTTAAACTTATATTAAACATTTTTAGATGTCAAATTATCAAAGTTTTGCATTTTGAAAAATATCTGATGATTCCCCACACAGCACATGATATTCGAATATTCTATACTCATACTGTATATTTATATATGAGAATAGTTACAGATGTAATATACTGGGAATATTCCCATAACATCTCTTGTTGTATATTATTTTTCATATATTCTTAGAATATACTTTGAATATCTCATATTAATATATTCTTTCTCGTATATTTTCAGGATACTCTATAATATTGCATGTGTTTCTTCATTTTGCTGCTACGCGCGCCATCAAACTCGTACTTAATTTTTGATGAAATGGACATAAAGTACTGATACTAACATGAGTTCCAAAGTTTCTTCTTTTTAGTCAGTTTAATTTATAATAAACTGACTTGATTAAAATTTTTCATTTGTTTAGTAATCTGGATTCCTTGTTGGGATTCAGAATATTAAACAGATTATTTAAAATTAAAATGAGAAATAGTGTGTGTGCGTTTACTGCATTTATTAAAAGTATTTCTATTACATATATGAATATAGTATATGATATATATATATATATATATATATATATATATATACATATAATACATACAAGAGATATACCGTTAACATTCTATAGATATCTCTAGTATACACTACAAGATATTCTCAGTATTTGCTATTAACCAAAATAGGCGGACATTAGAGCATTTTTAGTATATATCTCGAATATATACAGGGTGTCAGGAAATTTTTCGCAGTCCTGAAGTATGAAGATAGATTGGCTCAAATTAAAAAGGAAAGTTCTATGCGATATTTGCAATAATTAACGAAAAATCGATTTTCTTTAATTAATTTTTCGTTAATTATTGCAAATATCACAAAATAGTATCTTCCTTTTTAATTTGAGTCAATCTACATTCACACTTCGGGACTGCGAAAAATTTCCTGACACCCTGTATAGTATGTATCTCGAATGTTCTGAGAATATGCATTGTACTTTTGCGATATTCTTCAAACATTCTCAATATCTACATGTGCTGTTAGGGTTCAAAATATTTAAAATAATTAAATAACACCTCTATAATGTATACGAGGTGTGTTCAAAAAAAAAGGTGACTTTTTATTTTTCTCGAAAAATATTTATTTATTCATCAATATCTATTTTGTCCCCTTCAAAGTAATCCCCCTCAGATATTATAAACTTGTGCCAGCGCTTTTTCCAATCCTCGAAGCACTTTTGATATGCGCTTTTTGGTATGGTCTCCAACTCTTCCAGCGATGCGGTCTTTATCTCCTGTATTAAATTTTGTGTGAAAAATAAAATTAAGTGCTCTGACGTACTTGAAATGTTGACTGCGGCATTTGGCGAGTCTACTCTGAGCAAAAAAAATGTTTACAAGTGGTACAAACTCTTCACAGAAGGTCGAGAAGATGTTAATGACGATGCCCGCCCTGGACGCCCCAGCACATCAACAACCGATGACAACGTCGAAGCAGTGAAGAAAATTGTTATGGAGAATCGTCGAATTACTATTAGAGAAGTTGCTGAGGATGTCGGCATATCGGTTGGCTCATGCCATGCAATTTTTTCGGGTGTTTTGGCATGGATATTGCACCACGATAATGTGCCAGTTCACACGTCGTTGCTTGTTCGTGATTTTTTGGCCAAAGTCAACACTGTAACCATGCCTCAACCACCGTATTCACCGGACTTGGCCCCCTGCGACTTTTTCTTGTTCCCAAAACTGAAAAGACTCATGAAAGGACAGAGATTTACCACGATTGAAGAGATAAAGACCGCATCGCTGGAAAAACTCGAGACCATATCAAAAAGCGCATATCAAAAGTGCTTCGAGGATTGGAAAAAGCGCTGGCACAAGTGTATAATATCTGAGGGGGATTACTTTGAAGGGGACAAAATAGATATTGATGAATAAATAAATATTTTTCGAGAAAAATAAAAAGTCACCTTTTTTTTTGAACACACCTCGTACATGAAAAAATGTTTTCCTGCATTCACATTCACAAAAACTTCATGACGTGTGATTTACAAAAAAATGTAGTTAGTGTATTTTCATTTCATTACAAAATAAAGTAGTTTTAGTAGTAACATGTGTTTTTTAAATGCAGTGAATTTGAAAGTACATATAAATACATGATATAAACTGGATGTTTAATAAAGATTGGACCAATTCTCGTGAGTGGGTAGAAAACAATAAATTGAACAAAAAAGGACTTTACCATTTTATAATATTTACAATAATTATCGAAATATTAATTTAAAATGATTGGCAAAAAAGCATGTTTTTCGTACAGCTAGATCATAGATGTGTGTTCTAAGTATGTTGACAGCAATGTCGCATGGCAACGAAAAGATAAAAATCGGAGAATGCACGGTCTTTTCGTTGACATTCGTCGTTGACATAGAACACTCATTCCTCAGCCTAATCGTGCAGAACGCGTGTTCATTCGCCAGTCTTTTTCAATTAATATTTCATTAATTATTACGAAAATTACAAAAAGCTTTTCTATTCAGTTTATTGCACTCTATCATCCTCATAAATGTTAGTCCAACCTTTATCAAACATGTTGTACCAAAAAACATCAACGCAAAATATTACGCTCTCTGTTTTTCATTTATTTTCTTATTTCAATATGATCACGTGACAAATAATAGGAGAGAGCAGCGATAATATAACATTACGAGTATATAGTTGCTTTATAAACTCAACAGGATATAATAAAAGGATATAATATAAAAATCATAATATATAAATAGTAATTTAATAATAATTCAAGAAATTTAAAATAATTTTTTAAGCTTTCTCAACAAATAAAAAAGTAAATAAAAAGATTGACACAAGCATTAAAACTCAAAACTCACCCTGTATATATATATATATATATATATATATATATATATATATACAGGGTGAGTTTTGAGTTTTAATGCTTGTGTCAATCTTTTTATCATACGGGAGATTAAAACTCAAAACTCACCCTGTATATATATACAGGGTGAATCATAATGGTTGTAACAACCTTTTACCATTAGAGATCAATTACCGACTGCAACTGTAATCAATTGAATGATTCATAGATGACAGCTGCTTGGATCGACCGTGTCTGCAGTAACGTACAAGCGAGTTAAATACTGTGAATCAAATAATATACATATTCTATGCATACTTTTCTAATATATTTAACTTTTTTATGTACATATTTTTCTTTCTACACGGTTTTTTTTCTAATAACGCGATTTCTTATTATTGTGAAACGTATCTGCCACATAAAAAGAGATATCTTTTGCATTCGTGTATTTTTTATACGATTTTTTTTTAAATAATGGTTTTTTAATACATAGAATTTGTTTGTTTTAATACATAGAATTTGCTTATTATTAATTTTCTAAGTTATAACTTTTACATTCTTAATATCTACAGCAGAATATTTCTTGTAGAAAGTAGAATTACGCATTTTTTTTATAAAAAAAGAATACTTTTGTATCGTTTACCAATCCAACTCTTTTTACACGTTAAAATGATTTGTGTAAGAATGGAAAAAATCGCCGTCAAATTCTATGTATTAAAATACCATTATTTAAAAAAAATCGTATTAAAAAATACACGAATGCAAAAGATATCTCTTTTTATGTGGCAGATACATTTGACAATAATAAGAAATCGCGTTATTAAAAAAAAACCGTATAGAAAGAAAAATATGTACATAAAAGAGTTAAATATATTAGAAAAGTATGCATAGAATATGTATATTATTTGATTCACAGTATTTCGCTTGTACGTTACTGCAGACACGGTCGATCCAAGCAGCTGTCATCTATGAATTATTCGATTGATTACAGTTGCAGTCGGTAATTGATTTCTAATGGTAAAAGGTTGTTACAACCATTATGATTCACCCTGTATATATATATAGTGGGTGGTGAGTTTTGAGTTTTAATGCTTGTGTCAATCTTTTCATCATGCGGGAGATTACCGACTGCATAAAAAAATGATCGGTACATAAGTGTCAATTATTTGAATCGACGGCCCAAATATAATATGTATAATAGTAATAATAATAATAATAAATATGTAGCTTTAATAATAATAATAATAATAATATCCATACTACATAATTTCAGCTTTTAATTTGCTTTTTAATTGTACACATTATATTCGGATCTTAGATACAGTCGATTCAAATAATTGACATTTATGTACCGATTAATTTATTATGCAGTCGGTAATCTCCTGCATGATAAAAAGATTGACACAGCATTAACCCTGCACTCACCCTGTATATATTGTATATATATATATATATATATATATATATATATATATATATATACAGGGTAGAGCAAAAGTTCTGGAACGGCTAAATAACTCAGAAAATATTATGGCGCGCAATATGAATGTTGGTTTATATTCTGATACTCTAACAAATATTTATAAAACTTTTTTTGTTTATAACTTTTTAATAAACGAGCGACGTCTAAAACTTTTGGATGTCTCAGGGCAATGACCTTGACAATATATGTCATTTGGCTGGCCTGTAAAGGTAAATATTTATCATAATTTTTTTCTTTCTCAAAAATGAAGTCTTTATTTTAAAAAAGTATTTATTAAATTTTTAATTTATTCCTGCCCTCCCTTTATATTTTAAAAAATAAGGACATATACATAAAAAATTATAGTTTGATGTATTCGAAGTGGAATCAATTTTTTTCGCACTTTCATGATAACTATCATAAAATATGGTCTTTTCTTTATAAATAAAAAAATGAAGTATACGATTTTTTTTCGCAGAGTAATGACGTATTAAAGTAGTCGTACATTTTTGTTCAACTACCGCCAACATTAGCATTATCCGATGCTTACCACCAGGAGGAAAATTGATTTCACAGAATTGTATTCAAAAATTGATTCTATGCAATTTTTTGTATACAATACGCGCCTTTACTTTTGAATAGATGGAGAAAGGGGGGAAAGGAGGCAAAGATAAATTAAAAATCTAACAAATATTTTTTGAAGTAGAGAATTTTTTTTCAATCTTGAGAAAAAAATATTCAGATACAATTTTTGACGGAGTTATGCTCTTTTGAAATTATGCGAAATTTTAATATAAAATTATTTATGTGATAATTTTGTTGTGTTTCTATTTACATATTCAATATTTTAACAAAATATTAAATATTACATATTCTTTATTTTAATTCTCAGTGAAAGAAAAAAATATTATGTAAAATATTTATCTTACGAATGGATGTTCAGTTTTTTTTAAATACATTTATATATCCAGCAATTTCAAACTTAAGTGACTCTGTATTTCGTATACGTGAAAAGCGTTAGGAAACGTAAACAAAAAAACTTATTTTAGAGAAAGTTGTATCAAAAAAATCTTTAAAATAGTCTTTTTTACCTGAGATTTATCTATATAAAAATATCTGAAAGATCAGGAAATTTTTTACAAGATTTATATGAGTAGACATCCTATGAATATAATGCTAAGAATACCCAAGTTTTTCAAGTACTTTCGTCGTATTTCCTTCGCAGTCTTACACACCTCCTATAACGTTTGATAGGTTTTCAAAAATGTGCAATTTTAATTTATTTAAATTTGAAATTATCATATTTATACATTTACGATCAGTTCTTGCATCAATACCGATTTATTTTTTTATGCAGGAGTTTTCTTCAATAATCGGGTGGAGCACATCAAGTTCGTTGATTTCTGCGGCAAGTATCGCTTACCACTGTTACAATACTTATGTAGCAGCAAGTGTATTGAAGTACGCAATAGCGATGAGGAGCTTGTGAGCGGCGCCATGATTAGGAAGGTACTTCTCGGCTAATGAGCTCTTGAAGATATATTTCTGTTCTGAAAATTTTTTCCACGACTATTTCGCCATCACTTTGAGATTCAACTGAAACAGTTTTTACTTTTTAAAATCTGTTTTTATCAATGATATGAAATCTATATAGACATATATAAGGGAATAAAAATATGCACTGAGAAAAAATCTGGTTGCATTAATTAGAATTCTGGTAGATTCAACCAATATGTCTGTTGGAAAATGAACGAACCAGAATTCTTGTAAGAATTACTAGATGAATCTGATTAATTTCTTCCTGTTAAATATCAAATTTCTCGTTAATATTAAATTTAGCAGCACAAAGTCGTCTAAAATTTATTCCATCTAATTTCGAAAGTCTGTTTAGTATTTTGAATTTCAACAAGATTATTGGATAAATTCAATCCAAATTATTAAATAAATTATTTNAAAGGAAAGATGCCAACGATACCAAACAATGGTGCCAAATTATATAACAATTATTATGTACGTTGAACAATAGTATATAATGCGACCTATCCTATCGCTAAGAAATTTTTCAAGAATAAAAACGAATTTAATGAGAATTCAATCTCTAAAATAAAATGTAAAATGCGTCGTAAAAATGATAAATAATCCATGGCAAAAGATATCTGATCTAAATATTATGTTGAATTATAAACAGCATTTTGCAACAGATATTGGGGCTGATTGATCAGTGATTATCGATCGTGTCTTTTGAGTTTTCATTTCGATCACCAATGAGTACAAAACTTACTTAAGAATGATAGACATCATTATTGATCGATGACTACATCCTCGGCTGAAACGGATGATGGCTGTGCAATATTGATAATACATATATGTACGTACGAATGTGTACGTACGAATTATTATCAAATAAAAATCTATCGTATTCTTGGCCACTCTCGAACTCACAATCAGTACTACTCAGCTTCATCTGTCAGCAAGATTGTGAGTACAGTTATAAAGATCTGTTTTTTTTTCTTCTAAAAACTGTTTTTTTTTCTAACAGAAAATTTGATTTTTTTTCATTATTTGTTAAATATTATAATAATATAAAATATAATAATAATATTATTAACATATTTTTCTTTATATTCTTCTCTTAATATAATATAATATAATAAAAAAATAAAATTCTTATAGTTTCTAATTTATCTATCTTCAGAAGTAATTTTATTGAATTAATTTTTGCAGTAATTACATCAAATGCGATATGAATAATTTTCAATTATACAACAAATTTTATTATGCATTTTAATTGAAAATTTTTCGAATTATATCGTATTTAATATTAATCCTAAAAATCTCTTCAATTTATTAAAATTACTCTTGAAAAAAAATTAAAAATATAAGAACTTTAGTTTTTTATATTATATTAAAATAGTGATAAAAGTAAATTTTTAAAAATTATATAAATCGTGTTTTTATTATTTATAAAGACAACTCATTCAAGTTCTATTTTGATTTGTTTTCAAAGAATTTATTTAATTAAAAATAATAACTTTACAACTCTAAAGCCTATTGACATTTCTAATTTTGTTGTTCTATTGATTGCAATTTGCTGCGGTCAACCGCAAGCAGACCATTATTCTTCTTAAGGTTTAACATTAAGAAATATTTTAGCGTCATAACATATAGACAATTGGAATGCAATCTACGTTGATTAATTTAAATCTGTCATTTATAAAGACAACTCATTCAAGTTTAATTTTGATTTGTTTTCAAAGAATTTATTTAATTAAAAATAATAATAATAAAAAATAATAAACTTTACAACTCTAAAGCCTATTGACATTTCTAATTTTGGTGTTCTATTGATTGCAATTTACTGCGGTCAACCGCAAGCAGACCATTATTCTTCTTAAGGTTTAACATTAAGAAATATTTTAGCGTCATAACATATAGACAATTGGAATGCAATCTACGTTGATGTTGTTAATTTAAATCTGTCATCTAAAAGGTTATGATAAAAAATCAACTTGCAATAGTCAAAAATATCTTAAATATCTGAGAAAAAAGAATTGGAAAATAAAAACGAGACTTGCTTTTTTCACAAAAATATCAAAACTTTATGGGAAGAAAAACATTTTTTGTTTCTTTTCTATTTACATCTCTAATTATAAATATAAGTTTAAAATACGAAAAGCTTTATTCGTCATTCAATAGATCCTAATTAGAAAACGGTGAATCTCGTCGTCCGATAATATTCGCTAATTGCAAAGTAAATCGAAATGTAATCAAGTAGAGCGAATGAATGAGAACTGG